CATTGTGGCTATGTTGATGTTGCAAATTGCCATCATGTGGGCTTCAACTTAGAGCAGCCCTCTACGGATGACAGACCTCCAACAGACCCTATAATTTACAGCCCTGTTAAAATCCTGTAAACTCATAAACTCAGGGCTGTAGTCTATTCACCTGTAATGCAATTTCCCTCTTTTTGCATGGTCTTCCACTTTACTAATCACTGTTTTCTTTTCCAATGAGCCATGCTCCAAGGAAATTCTATAGACAACGTCTGGCAGACCTAGAGTTTGCTTTTTTGGTTTGATTGGTTTTTTATCCATTTTTTATCCAGCTGGCAGTAATGTAAGCAGATTTGAACATGTGGGGTTGTTGTGAATGCAGTTGTGCTTCAAAGTAGACAGGCTAGCATGTAAATGGGCATTGCATGTGTCAGTCATGCACCATCACCATTGATCTTATTTTGTATGGGGATGCATAAGTGAGGCAGCATGGTAGAGTGGTTAGACTACGACTCTGGAGAGCTTGGTTTGAATTCCTGCCTAGCCATAGAAACCCTGAAAAAGTAACACTCTCTTAGCATTGGAGGAAGTCATAGGCAAACTACCTCTGAACAAATCTTGCCAAGAAACCTTGGGGTCACAAAAAGTTGGAAATGACTTGAAGGTACACAAGAATGACAATGTGAAACATAGTTCTGCTGGCAGACATTTGTACTATGTTGAAGCAATGTAGGAACTCAGCGATAGTTTGCCAGTGACAAACACCAGAAGGGCAGTGAAAGTATCACAGATTTGAGCCTGAACTTTAAAGGAACTTATCATGCCATGATTTGAAGATTGGACTATCACTCTGGAGGCTATCGTTCGAATTCCAACACGGCCATGGAACTCACTGGATGATGTTTGGCAGGTCACAGTTTTCCAGCTTCAGGGGATGCAAAAGAAGGGCCCTTTTGAACAAATGTTGCCAAGAAAGAAACAACAGGGTTGCCTTAATGTTGCTATAAGTTTCAAATGACTTGGAAGCATACAAGAAATTCAAAGTGTTCAATCCAATCTCCTTACCAATGGGATCAGCACATTTAATAGCTTATTTCAAGTTCAGACTAAAAACTGAAAAGGATTCACCATGCCACTAATGTGGGAGCTACCAGTCACAGCTGATAGAAAGAGATACACAAATGAACCTCAGTTTGACTGCTGGATATAATGGGAAACCCAATACTTCTAGTCGCATCCTTTGCAATAGTGATGCATTTAGACAGGGAAAAGTTTGTATGACACAGACTTAGCATTACCACAAGGCAGCATGACTGTGCAACATGTGTGGCTGAAATCCAGCATTTTCTTAAACCCCATCAATCTTGAAAGGAAGATGTCATTCAGTGGTATTACATTTCAAAGCCACCACTCTGGCTTTAAAATAATTACACATTGTGTTTGCTGAGAAATAGATGCAAGGGTTGTGCCACCCCTGATGACTGATATGAAATGCTTATGCCTCCAAAAAGAAAACTTGGGAAGTGCCTGAACATGCTCTTCCCTCGCAGAGGGAGGAGGGACAGGAAAAGCTCATTGTAGTTTTACCAGGCAGTGGAGAGTCTGGAAATGTTTAGAGAGGCCAATGGGTAGCATTTTGCAGATGTTCACTCAAAAGCATGGAGAAATTACTTCTTCAGACTGCAAGTCTAAAATTCCCTCCAGATGGTATGTCAGGCTGGCTGGAGCATTTGAAAAATTGTAGTCCAAAAAAAGTAACTTTTCAATGATATGAATGGGAGATTGCAGCAAGAGTTCCTGCCTTTCTCATATCCCTAGTTTATATGCAGCAATCAGGATACATGCAAAGTGGGCAATACCCAGAGGCTCCTAAAGAAACATGGACTACCTCTGCCTATGTCAGTCTAAGCATGCTTCCAAATAGAGGTTATTGAAAATTACAGTGCTATGATTCCATTTTAACTATCATGGCAACAACCTATAGAATACTGGACTTTGTCATTTGGTGAGCCACTATAAAAGCTTTCTGACAGAGAATTCAATGTACTCTTCTTGAAACTGGAAAACCCAAGATTTCATGGGATGTCACCATGGCAGGTAAAGTACATAGATTGACAGCACTATCATTATACTGGCCATATGCCAGCATTGTGTAGCTATTCCATTTTTTCCTTTAACCAGTTTTCTCTGGCAAGAACAGATGAATGAAACAATGGGAAAACATAGGATGGCTGCCAAATGAAAACAATGACATGTGGACTTTGCATAAAGTTCCACCCATCAGTGAGCACAGCCCACATGGGAAAGACTGATCTAGAAGCATCCTAGCTGCCTGGTCTTGGAAGTGAGCCTGTCTTGGTTGCTCTCATAAATGATCTATGACAAGAGACAGACAGGGCAGTGCAATCTTATTGATTCTACCGGACCTCTCAGAAATTGTCAATGCCAACACCCATGGTATACTTTTGGATTATTGTCTTGTGCCACAGTTGAAGACAGAAGAGTCTTATGTCTCTTTTCCATTCTGAAAGATGAGTTCCAGAAAAGACAACAACTGTGGATGGTGTGAAGACTAATTTCCCACCCATGTACCTCCAACATTAGCCCTGAAATGGAAACTATCAACAACTGCCAGTTTCCATTTTTGGTCATTTTGGGCCTTTGATGGCAGGTTTCCATATTAAGGTGATGTGTTTCTAGTTTTTGCCTATTCCTGGACTAGCATTTTACAGATCTGGTGCATTTAGGCCCTTTTTGAAGCAGCTGTGGGATTTTGAGGAGTCTGACAGGTCTCTGAAGGTTATAAAATGCACCCGAGCCCCTGAAATGTAGCTATAAGATCACATTTGCTATAGAGCAGTGTGCTACTTAACCTTATGCATTTGTTACAGAAACCAGAAGCATTTGTCCACAGGTGAAAACCAGGATATATGTGGCCCAGCAACACCAGAGTGTGGCAAGAGGGGGAACGGTTATTAATGAGGAAGAGCACACAAACCAAGAGAGGATGTAATACTTGCTTTTCCCTGAGCCTACTGGAAATTGAATCCCCTCCTCTCCTCATGCCTAAGTTAACTGAGTGCAATCTACTTGTTTGTGTTTTGAACTCAATTTTCAGCAACTGAAGTAAGCTGAGGACAAAGGGGAGAAGTTGGGAAGAGAGAATAACTGGGATATTTTCAAAGCAATTGAAAAAGTGAGGTGATGGGGTTAATCAGGACTGTCCTTGCCAAATCAGGACTGTTGGATGGTATGTTTGCCTTTTAATTGGGTATCATTTCATCCTATCTCCCACCCCCATCCCCAAGGACATCCCGGTTTAAAACAACTTTTGGCTTGTCCTGAACCTTACAAACAACTTATTATAAAATTGAATTTGGTGTTCATTTTCAGAACTGAACTGTCTCTGTTTAACTTCATCTGATCCCTCTTTATTTTTATGATATTTATTTACATATTTATTTTATTTCATTTCATTAATGTGCCATTTTTCTCCCAGGATGAGACTCAACATGGCTTATGGCAATGTAGGGACAAACAGCCATAGTATAAATAACTTTTTGGTATGAAAACTATACAATTTCTTCTCACTACTCGATTCTGGGGTTGTTGTTTTTAGCAAAGTCCTTTCCCCCCTCTATTTCTTCCAGTTTCTTTACTGCCAACTGTAACTCCAGGATGATGACAGGGCAGACAAGTCAAAAGACATTTTGTTGATTTAAGGGTGACTAGAAAGTCCTTTTATCAAGATGGAAAATGTTGACACCTTCAGCCATCGAACAGGCAAAGGAAAGAAAGGTCTGCAACCAAGGCCCTTGCAGAAATCTGAGGCTCTTATAAACAAACACTCGGTGTGTTAGAGGGGGTAAGACATTTTAATGGCATGATCTTTTGGAGGTTCAGGTTGCAATGCTGTTTACCTCACTTACCTGGAACAAATCCCAGTAATCACAATGGGTTTCCCTTCAAAGTTGGGCACAGACAGGATTGCACTGGTAGCTGAGGAAATGATTTGGAATGCAATCTAAACTAGGCAAAATAACTGCAATTAAAGGGTGAAACATCTGGGTGCGTGAATGGACCTGCTGTCCTTCTCCAAACTTTTAAATCCAGCATTTACTATGAATCTCCATAGTGGCTGTTGTGCATGGTTGTGTGAAACTGAGCGAGCTCAGGTCTGCAGCTTACATCATAGGTAGCATTTAAAAACACACAAAAGAGAAGGAGAAGATGAGAAAGAAAAGAGAGGGGGGGGGGGTGAGAGAGAGACTGCCATGGACCATTTCACACTACACAAAGATAGCACTATGATTGGGCTTTTAACTGCTGTGGCTTCATCCTGAAATCCTGGGTTTTGTAGTTTGTAGCACCAGAGTTCTATAAAGTCTAAATGTTCTCTCTAAATGCTAATTCCAAAGGGTCTATGGGATGTTACCATGGAAGTTAAAATTGAACCATAGCACTGCAACTGTGCGTCATGTAAGGATCCCGGGACATTCCATCAGGTAACCGAGTCTAAAGAACAGCTCTGAATGGAACCCATCATCAGCACCACCATGTGATGCTCTTATGCATTATTCTTTTTCTCTTGCATAATCAAAGGCACAATGTTTCATAGGAACACAGATAAAGTGATATAGTTATAGACTGTGGCATATATCCTTCAAGTGAATCCCTTTAGTTCTCAACTTATTGAAGACAGCAGAAGAGCCCACTATGTACAGCCAGGAGGATGGTCTCCCCGAACTCACAAAAGCCCACTCTCCACAGCCCCAATGAAGCTGCTTTGTGTAGTTCAAACTGATTAGAATGACAGAGGAAAAGCACACAATGATGACAAAGAAGAAAGCAAAGATCTCCTAGACTTCTTGTACAATAAATAAGTAAGCCAAAATTTCTTCTTCTGTCCTGCTCCCAGCAACTGATTCCTTCTTGATCTTGTCACTTCTATTCATCCATTTCTAATCTACTGTCCTATACAAGGCTTGTCTTTTGGGGCTTTGCTAGCCCCACAGCCTTACCTGTAGCAGTCAAATGATGTTCCCTAGCAGCCAGATGAGCAGCAATCTCCTTCTCCATCCACCTCAGCCTGCATCTCAGAGCAAATGGGTGTCTCTCCCTCTTTCTCCCTCCCTTCCTAGTTGCCTGAGCAGGAACAGAGGAAGGAAGGGTGAAAGGGGAGGGGGGAGAGCAAGAGAGGGAGGGGAGCACAGAGCTGAAACTTTAATAGCACAGAGCCCCTTTTGTTTCCCAGCATATGGTATATTTCATACATACTGAAGACATTAGCCACCTATATTTTGAAAGAGTTCGCTTCAAAAGTATAAATACAGCCTGTGCCCAGCTCTCTGAAAACACACTCTGGGAAGGGCTGGGAACTTGGGAGTGCTGTGAAATCCAAACTGGGAGGAGGGAGGACAGTCCAAAGATGTTTTGAAAGCCAAAATAAATGTTTCTTTTCTTTCTTTCAACTTTTTTCCAGTGCTGAAAATGTGTGGCCTTATGTACAAACCTTTGCAGTGTTATTCATTGCTCATCTGGCCAACGTTTCAGTCCCAAACACTTTCTCACACCAAAGAAATACATGGGCCAAAGAAATACATGGGCAATAGATTCTTGCGTGACATTGTCCTGAGAGGTGATATGTGCCCCATATATTTGCTGCTCCCCACTTCATTAAGTCTACTTCCTGGAATTGACCCTGCTCCAGTCCTAATAAATGGGATGGCAGGAGAGGGGAGGCGTCAAATAATTTTGGAGCCCACAAGCTCTAGACCACTTGAGGCATGAGGCAGTGGCAAAGATAAGAGACCTACACATCTGGCAATGGTTTGTCAATAGCTAAATATTACCTTGCAAAGCTTATTCCATCCCCTTCTCTGGCCAAAAGTACCATTTTGAAAGAGCCCAGGCTAGAGCCACAAATTCTCCCAGACTCAATTTATTTTTTAAAATGTTATTTATTTCATGTCAAAAGCATTGCATAAGCAAATAAGTATAAAACTGTTAAAATAAGGGATCACAAGCAGCTACATAGTTTTAGACCAAAAATGGGCAGCAACAACCATATTGTCTGTAGCTTGAAACAGTTCTTCCTCTGTGCATGAGGCAGGACATTGTGGGCAAGCATACAGATGCTGAGTTGTTTGTTTTGCTCCACAGTTGGACAAAGTGGAGGTTTCTTCTAGGTAGTGCTGTTTATCCAGGTTGTCTTTTGATCTGCCAATTCCACTCCTGAGTCTGTTCAGGGACTTCCAAGTTGACCTTTCTTGGTTGGCCCCTAGAGGAAGACCCTTGTGAGGGGGCCATCCCTTTGGGTGTGTCTGATTTTGCTGCCCACAGGAATATTCTTGCTGTTGCTGGAGGAACATTCAGAGGAGTGGTGGTTCTCATGAAACTTTTCCTTAATTTGAGTCTACTGGAAGGAGGCTGATAGCCATACAGTGGGTGGCTTTCACATTTCCGTGTAACAATGTTGTAAGCTGGGTATATGTGCAGATCTGATGGAAGACATAATTACTTGAATGTTAAGGGTCAGCCTAAAATAAGCTTAGCAAACATTGAAAGACAACATTCTAATATTTAAATAGGATTTCCCCTAGGATCAAGCAATAGATCCCAATCACACAGAAACGACTGCGTCTGAGATCCTGCTTTAGGAGATGTCCGTGTTTTTTGTAGCTGTGTCTCTTGATGAGCTCACTAAGTCTTTCATTGAATGCATTCCAGATTGTCAATATCAACACTGTATTACAGGTGGCATCTGAATGAGATGAATTAAAAACAAGACAAGAGTAACTGAGAGTTTCAAAAATGACCAGGAAGCATGTATATCTCTCTATATCCAGTGCTGGAGATACATATATGCATACATGGGAGAAGCAGATTACTCACCACTTCACCCCTTGTTCATTATACAAAGGCTGTCTGTCTGTCTCACACACAAACTCTCATGCCACATATACCGATGGAGCTCCTTGCTTTTCCTGCCCAGAGGTACTACATTGTCCTGCAGAGCTGAGATGAGATGTGATATTAATGTTTAAATATTTGAAAGGACGGCGAAAGGAAGAGGGATCAGACTTTATTTCTTCTGCCCTGGAGACTAGACCTGGAGCAATGGGTAAAAAAAGAGAGATTCCACCTGAACATTAAGAAGAACATCCGGACCGTGAGAATTGTTCAACAGTGGAACTCTCTGCCTTGAAGTGACTCCTTCCTTGGAGGCTTTTAAACAGAGGCTAGGTGCCATCTGGTGGTAGTGCTTTGATTATGCTTTTCCTGCATGGCAGGACATTGGACTGGATAGCCCTTATGGTCTCTTCCAACTCTATGACTTTATGATCCTATGATTCTTAAACAAGGCTTCTGCTGTCTAGAGTAAGCAAATGAGTTGTCACTCTAGCTCACCAAGCCTTTGCTGCTTTCAGATGGGAACACAAGGCTGAGCTGAAACCACAAGTTCACTGTGGTACTGATTTGAGTTTTTCCCATATGTTAAATGCAATTTGAGATCTTCCCTGCCTACACCCAGTATAACAAAATGCATTCAGTTTTTTTTTTTACAAAAGAGAGATATCTCAAAATGAAGAGGACAAGGAAGTAAATAACCAATGACACAAATGCTTTTGGGGTAGGGAAACAAAGCGAAAAGACAAACAAAACAGAAATGGTGAGGGATTGTGGCATAGTTTCTTTTCTATTCTTTTTTTTAAAAGTGGGGAAATAAATGAAAACAAATACTGCCTTTGGAAATATAAACTAAGCAGGAGAATGTCTGTTGATGTTTTGTGCCTAACTGACTTTTGCCACCCCTAAGGCAATGCTATCACATGATTTTCCAGGCAAGATTTGTTCCAAGGAGATTTGCGTTTACTTCCCTCTGCATCTGAGAGAGTGTGATCGGCCCAAGTTCTCCTGGAGTCCTGGTCCAATACTTAACCATCAGACAACTTTGGCTCTTCACTCAGTTTCTCTGCCAAGAACATGGCATCTGCAAAATGGATAGGGAACATCCCACTATAGAAGATGCCAACCATAAAGAAACTTGTTGATCTGTTTGCAGGTTCACATGAAAGCTGTGTCAGCAAGCAAGCAATTTCTGTTTGATTCCCATGTGGTCACAAATCTAGATATCATTTCTGGGCCCTATGAAAGCTTTGGAGTGGAATGCTGTGCTCCAAAGTCTATTGGAGTAAAATGGATGTAACTGCCATTGTCTTTAACCATTCAAGCTGATTCATATGTATTCTCCAATAGTCATGTGATCTTCTGGGCAATGCTTTCTTTTATGAAGTCAAGTTAAGTGACTTCTAGAGTTATAATGTGCTGTCTTTGATCTTTCCTCAAATAAATACCATATTTTTGAAAGCATCTTGTGACCATTCTGATCTTCATTACGGGGGCCCTTTGTTCATCACATTGACTTATGCTGGGAACAAAGATGGACATGAAGAAATACCATGATTATTCTAATGTCTTATATGTATTTGGGGGAAAGAGCATGTTGTCTACTAATTATGAGGATCCATAAATCTGTCACACAACTGAGGTCTGCATGCCATATATGAGGGAGCACAGGTTGCATGGCGAATGGACTCATTGTCCAGTGTTAATTCAGTCTCATGCTCCTACTGAAAATGTAAAATACTGCCAAATTTAAAGGTGAGGGATAGCTTTTTATGGCTCTTTAGAGCTTGTAAAGAAAGCTGCAGTGTTTTAGCTATTGATAGTGGTGGAAAAGGGAGAGGAAGGGGGTGTCCTAAAGGGATACTGAGCAAATTTATTGCAGATGTGAGTAAGTTAATATTACAAGGCTGCTAGCCTTAAGGCACAAATCATGGAGCAGTATCCACAATGGCTGAAATCAGACAAAGGAGGCTTTATACATGATGACCCAGACGTTGAGTCTCATTTGCCCTCTTCCTCCTCATCTTGCCCAGTTGTTCTGTCATTTGCCTATCAGGCTATTCATAAGAGAATGCTAAATGAATATATTCAACCTTCATCGTGTATCTGTGATACAGAAGCTCTCCATCACAAGGCTGAGGGGCCTGTGGCTCTCCAGGGTTGATGTAGCTTCTGAGCACACTTCAAAGACTTATGGCTCTAAACAGCTCCACATAGAAGCCTACTGGAATCCTAAAATCTTCAGAGGAAAGCCTTCTCTTTGTGCTGCCAGCACCACAAGTTTGCTTGGTGAGGGACAAGAGAGACCCTTCTCAGTGGCTGCTCCCACCCTCTGGAATGCCCTCCTCTCCTTTCACTAGCATTTTGGTTTAAATAAGCGTTTAATGTATGAGGAGGGTCGTGGGGAAGTTTTTTAAAAACTTTTGTTTGTTGTTAAGAATGTTTTAATACTGTTTTATGTGGTTTCACTGTTTCAGACTGTATTGGAACTATTTAAATTGATTGTTTTGTTATGCTTGACTTTCCCAAGACTCTTTGTTCCTTCAGCTTGATATTGTATGGAGTGGTCAGCCCTTTAAAGAGAGGGTGCCTTCAAAGAGATAGGTCCTCTGACAACCCTGCTTCATAAGAGACTGTTGCCTTATAGGAGGAAGCACTGCAGGGCAATAGCAGAAGACAAGCTCATAGAAAAGCCAAGTGAGGGCCGGTCTCCTTATTTCAACTGGCTATAGACTTTTTTCATAACAAGCGAAGAACCATTTTTTCCAATTTCTAGCCATTTATTCCAATTTCTACCATTCTTTTTGTAATGAATTGTGTAATTGAGTCAACCAAAAGCAGTATCGCCATAGCTGTGAAGCAGTGATCTGTTTCTCAGTTGTATAATATTTTGTACAAAGTTTGTTCTATGAGTATATCCACATGACAGAATTATAGCAGTTATCTGCCATGACTCAGTTCTGTGGGATCCTGGGATTTGTAGGTTTGTGAGATATTTACCTTTCACTGCTAGAGAGTTCAGTTGTTACAACAAAAAAATCCCAGGATTCTATAGGATGGAACAATGGCAGTTAAAGTGATAGCAAACTGCATTAATTCTGCAGTGTGTATGGTTTCAGCATCATTTTTAGCAGCTTTAGTTGGTAGCTATTTTTCTTCTTCCCTGAGATGAAGAAAGATCGCCCTCACTAGTCTCTAGCTGAAATAGAAATGGAACACAATAAGCATT